CAATGGGAGTTCAAGGAAACATTCAGTAGGTGTATTTTCATGGAATTAGTACCATTGTCCCGTAAATATGATGCGTTTAGAAGTAATTTTAAGTGGGAAACATGCATAAGCCTACATATGTGATTCGACAAGTAGACTTTCGAAACGATAGAAGCAAAATCTATTAATATTGGTCTGGCAAATGCGAACATTTATCCTAACAAATTACTTGCAACATTTGAACATTCTTCCAGCAGTACTTACAAGTTCTGAAGTAATGGAAGCTGAGAAAAAGCCCTGGGTTCTATCCAGCCGATGCGGTTATGGGTGAGTGACAGCTCTTGTAGTGCCGGAAGTGGCGTAAACCTCGGTATGGACTTCAACCTGTTCTCACTAAGGAACCTAACGGCAAGCGATTATTTCATTAATCAACTACTGGGATACTGGGATACTGGGATACTGGGATACTGGGATACTGGGATACTGGGATACTGGGAAAGACCCGTTCTTCAAGTGTCTGAGCACTGCGGGTCCGAACTTTTCGTTGGTTTTGATCTATAGACATTTTGTAGGACTCCTTGGTCGAGGGATCGGCCCGTCGCAAGGCCTCTACCTGTACACAGGACAGCACACCACAGAAAAACGCGGACAAACTTCCATGGCTTGAGTGGGATTCGAACCCACGGTCCCAGTGACCAAGCCTCAGACCGCGCGGCCACTGCGGACCCCATTAATCAACTACTGGGATACTGGGAAAGACCCGTTCTTCAAGTGTCTGAGCACTGCGGGTCCGAACTTTTCGTTGGTTTTGATCTATAGACATTTTGTAGGACTCCTTGGTCGAGGGATCGGCCCGTCGCAAGGCCTCTACCTGTACACAGGACAGCACACCACAGAAAAACGCGGACAAACTTCCATGGCTTGAGTGGGATTCGAACCCACGGTCCCAGTGACCAAGCCTCAGACCGCGCGGCCACTGCGGACCCCATTAATCAACTACTGGGATACTGGGAAAGACCCGTTCTTCAAGTGTCTGAGCACTGCGGGTCCGAACTTTTCGTTGGTTTTGATCTATAGACATTTTGTAGGACTCCTTGGTCGAGGGATCGGCCCGTCGCAAGGCCTCTACCTGTACACAGGACAGCACACCACAGAAAAACGCGGACAAACTTCCATGGCTTGAGTGGGATTCGAACCCACGGTCCCAGTGACCAAGCCTCAGACCGCGCGGCCACTGCGGACCCCATTAATCAACTACTGGGATACTGGGAAAGACCCGTTCTTCAAGTGTCTGAGCACTGCGGGTCCGAACTTTTCGTTGGTTTTGATCTATAGACATTTTGTAGGACTCCTTGGTCGAGGGATCGGCCCGTCGCAAGGCCTCTACCTGTACACAGGACAGCACACCACAGAAAAACGCGGACAAACTTCCATGGCTTGAGTGGGATTCGAACCCACGGTCCCAGTGACCAAGCCTCAGACCGCGCGGCCACTGCGGACCCCATTAATCAACTACTGGGATACTGGGAAAGACCCGTTCTTCAAGTGTCTGAGCACTGCGGGTCCGAACTTTTCGTTGGTTTTGATCTATAGACATTTTGTAGGACTCCTTGGTCGAGGGATCGGCCCGTCGCAAGGCCTCTACCTGTACACAGGACAGCACACCACAGAAAAACGCGGACAAACTTCCATGGCTTGAGTGGGATTCGAACCCACGGTCCCAGTGACCAAGCCTCAGACCGCGCGGCCACTGCGGACCCCATTAATCAACTACTGGGATACTGGGAAAGACCCGTTCTTCAAGTGTCTGAGCACTGCGGGTCCGAACTTTTCGTTGGTTTTGATCTATAGACATTTTGTAGGACTCCTTGGTCGAGGGATCGGCCCGTCGCAAGGCCTCTACCTGTACACAGGACAGCACACCACAGAAAAACGCGGACAAACTTCCATGGCTTGAGTGGGATTCGAACCCACGGTCCCAGTGACCAAGCCTCAGACCGCGCGGCCACTGCGGACCCCATTAATCAACTACTGGGATACTGGGAAAGACCCGTTCTTCAAGTGTCTGAGCACTGCGGGTCCGAACTTTTCGTTGGTTTTGATCTATAGACATTTTGTAGGACTCCTTGGTCGAGGGATCGGCCCGTCGCAAGGCCTCTACCTGTACACAGGACAGCACACCACAGAAAAACGCGGACAAACTTCCATGGCTTGAGTGGGATTCGAACCCACGGTCCCAGTGACCAAGCCTCAGACCGCGCGGCCACTGCGGACCCCATTAATCAACTACTGGGATACTGGGAAAGACCCGTTCTTCAAGTGTCTGAGCACTGCGGGTCCGAACTTTTCGTTGGTTTTGATCTATAGACATTTTGTAGGACTCCTTGGTCGAGGGATCGGCCCGTCGCAAGGCCTCTACCTGTACACAGGACAGCACACCACAGAAAAACGCGGACAAACTTCCATGGCTTGAGTGGGATTCGAACCCACGGTCCCAGTGACCAAGCCTCAGACCGCGCGGCCACTGCGGACCCCATTAATCAACTACTGGGATACTGGGAAAGACCCGTTCTTCAAGTGTCTGAGCACTGCGGGTCCGAACTTTTCGTTGGTTTTGATCTATAGACATTTTGTAGGACTCCTTGGTCGAGGGATCGGCCCGTCGCAAGGCCTCTACCTGTACACAGGACAGCACACCACAGAAAAACGCGGACAAACTTCCATGGCTTGAGTGGGATTCGAACCCACGGTCCCAGTGACCAAGCCTCAGACCGCGCGGCCACTGCGGACCCCATTAATCAACTACTGCATCGGTATCCTATTTTAAATCGATACACTAGACCCTCGTTGTACCGTGCGTGTCGAGTTATTGCTTCAACACTCGCATTACAAGTAAAATAAATTTAATTAAAATAAGACACATAGAATATAATAGTAGTGGACAACATTATCACACCTAATGTATAACAAAGGTCTATAGTACAGCACTTAGGAATATAATTCCGTGCCCTAAATTCTGAAATTTTTTCTGGTCGTATGATATTCATAAAATTCAACGTCGCTATAAATAAAATCAGCATCTAGGACGTAAAAATCACGGCGTAACAGAGTTCAGTTACACGTAAAAAATATAATAATCAGAAAAATTAAAGTACACTACAGTCCCATCTTTTGCATACCCTCAAATATTTGTTTTCCCTGGTTCCAATAATAAATATCAATTGTTTTACATTAATTTGTAATCGATATGAAAATCAAAATTGCATCAAACATCGCCAATTTTGTAACTCCAGGTTTAGTTGTTAACCAGGTATTTTAATCAAATTAAAAATAAAATCCTTAGTCTATATCTATGGGCAACACCAAAACAAGGCTTTAATAAAGTTTTGTAATTTTAAAACTTTGTCGACACTGAAATTCACTTCTTTATTACCAGCTGCTAAGCTGCAAATTTGGTTCCATCATATCTATATTTTTATGGTAGTTTAATCGCACACTGCTGGCAGGAGTTCAGGAGTATAAATTCTCTTTTAAATTAATTAAAGATGAAACAACATTGGACTCTACTTTGAACTTTTTTTTATTCAAGTATCATTTGAGGTTCGCTCGGTGGGGAATCCTAACATTCTTCTGGTTTGTAGCGGTGTGTAATCTTGTAAAAGTTTACCGATGTTTCAAAGGTACTTGCTGCCTTCATCATCAGAGCGATCACTGATAATGGAGTCAGGTCACAGTTTTGAAACGTCGGTAAACGTTTACTAGACTACTCAGCGCTACAACCCAGAAGACATTCATATTCGATTTTAATAAAGTTCACGCCTTGACATTCCATTTTCTTACGATAAGATTAATCTATTTATGATTAGGTGTTGTCTTTCATTCAGCATTTCCAAGTAAAATTGCGTGCTATGCATTTATTGTGGCTTTGGGCCCCTCCGTATCATAATCTTTGATGTGATTACTCTATTAATATTTAATGAAAAGCACAAAATAAAGCTCTTTATTATGTAACATGCATGAGGATTTCTTTATGGTCTAAATAATTAGCAACTACTAAATAATTCACCATGATTCTTCTCAGTCTGATAATTAGTTTCATATTCATGCATTTACTTAGTGACTAAGTGTGTCAGATAGTTACTTAGTAACTACAAACGTACTCTCTGAGGCCCTTTCTCTCCAATCCGCGGAAGCCCCTAGAAAGAATAATCTACTCAATATGTATGCATTGGAATGTTCTCTGGCTTACAATTAGCAGGCCTTGTTTGCAGACACTCGCTCATAGGAAGTAATTCTCTGCCTTTCGAGACACGTTCCTTATGTACTTCCGGTTCATACAACAACAAAACAAACCAGGTCGGCGTTCATATAACGGGAGAGTGAGGTAAGCTGAATTAGCTCACATTGGCATATTTGGAAGGATTGCATGGTGACTAAGAAAAAACATTAGATCTGGAAGGACAATAATCAATACAATATCATATCAATGTTTCTTGGAATTCTCATTCGCAATTTTGTTACTGCCTCCGGCTTTACGGATCGTATGTAATAACCAATTCACAGAAAGACAAGAAGAAATTTCGTAGGCATTATTTGCGTCAGTTTGTGAGGTCATCTTTT